GAATAACTAAGATTAGCATACGTATGGAGGAAAATGGACTAATGCTAGCATCTGAGCATCTCCATGATGGATTGACCGCCAGCGACAATTGGAACTAACCCTCGTCGAGAGGCTCACTGCTGCCAATTTTTCCGAGCATGTAAAAGGATTACTTTGTTCCGAACGCGATTGATGAGTCGTTGCGGAACCTTTTTTAAGAATCTCAACAGTAGCGTCTCTTCTTGAATGTTGATGCCACAGCTACCTCATTCTGTGTGATCGCTTGTTCCTCCTTTTCCCGTTCATGAATGTTTTCAAATATTGGTTCGGTTTGTGTCTAGTTGTGTGCGTGCGTGCATGGATGGTGGTGTGCGTGCGCTTGTGCCTATGACTATCTGTATGTGTGAATCGTGAAGGTCCGCCTTCACACCTACTCCCGCGCCATCCTCCACAAAAATCACCTCAGGCCTCCTCAGAGGAAGCCCCCCAAGATATGCAGCAACACTTTTCTCCAGGCGCCACCTGACAGAACTGCACAGCCTGAGATTGTAGATCAGCCGACTAAACAGCCCTACTCAGCTGGCTAGACCAAGATGTGTTCCTATACTATCCGGCAGCCCAGTGGTGTCAAACCTGGTATCTTTCGTCGTTACCTCTTCAGACGATTCCCAGTCTAGGTGAGGTTGGAGAGATCGGGTGGCGAGTTAGAGGTTGAGCTACTTGTAGATATTCACTTCTTCAATCAAATATATTGGTAATTTGATCTGACAGGCCCATTTCCTTAGATTTACTATATGGGTTTCTTTTCTTTGGATTATTTTTATGAACCCTCGGTATGAGCACTTCGTTTTCAAAATTAAACTAATAATCCATAATCTTAGAGTATGGTTTCCCAAAAACAACTACATAGTATCGTAATATATAAGACCAAGGTTTACTATATTTAAAACATCGGTCACTTGATGCGAGGTAGCAAATTCTTGAATCTTTTTTTTATACTCCAACTACCACGAAGGCCTAAGGCCTAAACACCCATGCTGTACCGTGTCCAATGTCTTCAACTGAAGATCATCAGATCCTTGAGTTCTGACAAATAAAGATCTCCATTCAAAGGAACATACCGTGATTGCTATTTAAAATCTAATTTATTTCTATCATACTAAGTTATCACAACATCTGCCACTAATTTATATACGTCGACTGAACTATCGCGTTTCGTGCTGTTGCTAACTAATCATCTCCTGTCGGAAGTAACCGCGCCTCCGTCGAAGCTGACTAGATGGTAGTCGATGTTTCGACATCCGTAATTCTGGTTCGCTAGGCTTCGATGTACGAGGGGGTCTCATAGGTACTCAGTTCTAGTTACCAGAAAGTTTCATTCTCATGAAAACCATGACGTAATTACTCTTATTCAAGATCACTATTTTTGGGTGCAGAAAAGACGTCGCTCAAGGGTTCTGGAAATGACTATAATCATTATTTAAATTCAATAAAATTAATTATAAGTCCTGCTCCCGGAGTGTTGCGACCGCTGGAAAAGAGATATGTTAGTTATGTATATTCACAACTAGAAGGGAAACCTGATGGGCCTGTCCCGCAAATCCCGAACGCAACATCATGTTAATCTAATAGTGTAATCCGATCGGTGAACCCCAGTTTACTTCATGTTATCTCAATGGACCTCGTATACTTTACCATTCACAACGACAAATCGGCAACATGGCACTGTGTTGCCGCCAAGTGGTGTTCTAGCGTCATCGAGAGCTGACCGCTCAACACATTTCTAACAGCAGCCAATTATAATGGGTACGTACATTTTCACTCTTTGCTGAGCAATTTAGCTGACAGTCCCTCTACGCGTATCTGGGAGAGAAAGCTGATGTAGTTCAGTCGAATTAAAAATGTGTTTGTGACTAAATAATTTAATTTCGGTTATTGATATCGTAGCGGTAAAAACTTTTCGATGTACCTTACTTGTAGTCCATTAGTAAAAAATGGTACACGGAGCGGTCCTTAATGAATGCGCAAATCGGCAGTAATCTACTGAACTTCTGAAGATAAGCCTATCGATCCAAATTAATATGCAAGTAAAGTGACCCGGTATATCACATGATGTTTCTGTATATTTCACGGAATAACTGTCTTGTTACTGTCCTACTTTTGTTTACAGAACCTTTCAATAGGGCGAGTATTTTCAGATAAAAGTGGTATTCGACATTTATGTAGATTGAACAAAGGTGTGAGTCATTATTAGTTAATAAAACATACTGTTACATGGAAAGAGTTAAAAAATTAACTTAATTAACACTGCCAATGCTTCCGAAGCCTTATCAAATATCCGTTGTTGAGTCGCAGATCGCATACAAATGCGAAAGATACTGTCAGTCCCTTTGATCCTGGTGGTGCGTGAACAACATAAGACGCAGTTTGGCCTTGAGATGGACAAGCAAAAATCTACGCATTTACGATCCAAAAACGAATCATAATAAACAAATTATCGAATCTCGGATGCATATATGTTTTACTAAGCCATCTCGAAGCCAAACTATTGTTTTTCATACTATTGTCTGATAAGACAAACATCAAGATTCCCTTCAACTGTCGAAGTACTATTTCTCGGACTTAAGATCCATAAACATTGCACATGAAGCATTTTAGTCGAAGATTGCATAACAACTAACCGATATGTAACCGATGTGGGTGGGTTTTCACGTTTTAGGAGAATACTTTCCGTTTTCGGATCGATGGACGAGGGTAAGCTGTCTGTTACATCAAAAAAAATGGCAGAGGACCTCTGGCTCGCTTGTCGCGTTGGAGGGTAGGACTTATTTTTGAGAACGAGAGTACTTTCCACATGCAGTCCTAGGTTTTGCTGGGTGCAGGACTTTTTGGACTCTTGCAGTGACTCATTGTATAGGAATGTGTAAATCAAAGGAAAAAATTAAACGAAATATCACCTGGAAGACATGTGAACAATAGACATATATTGACAAAATTGTCAGATGTACTTGGAAAAGGTACCGTTGAAACCAAAAGAATATATATTCTCATAAGCGTCAATTGTACTTGGACCCTTATATGACAAATACTGCTGTCATCACTATGTTGTTCCTAAAAAGATTTAGTAATGATTTAGTTAATACGACGTTAATTGATTCTTTGAAGCATACCGAGATCCTTTATAGAATATTGTGGCGCTGAGGCGAGAAATTATTATTTAAAACGTGAAACTTAAGACCTTTCCTAAGAACTTTTATTATCAAGGTTAAAGTAGATAGGACTAAAAACTTAAGGTTTCTCTTGGCTCTTGTACCCAATGTTGGCTTGTCTCAGATGTTTTGCATTTTTCGGTGTGATCTGTATTACAAAAATGTTGTTAGCAAACCTTAGTTGCTCTAAAAGAATCATTTTTGGGTTAGCAATTTGATGTGGGATTCTCGAACTATCATTAAAAGATAGCGAAACGGGTCTAGTAAAAAGCTGTAAAGTAAGGCATTTATAGATAAGAAGGGTATGCCGGAACAACGTTCTAACCGACAGTTTGGTCAAAAGTGGGATTTCTATAAAACAAGGATCTATGTATCCATTCGCATAACCTCCCCCTCTTTCAAGCTGAGAATCACAAATTTAATTGGTGTCCAGACGTCTAAATGATTCAGTGAATCTTGATATCCACGTAACAACGTTGTATGTGCACGCGCCGACAGGTCTCAGCAAGTTTGTTTTCGAAACTACCACAGCCCACGTGGTTTCTGCAAGATGAAAGTTAGTTTATCAGAGTCTATTATTAGTCATATGAACAGAGGTGAAAAACGAAAGCTAAAAATTGACACCTGGAAGCAGACTGTAAGAAAACATCAGAGGGATGCAGGAGAAGCATACATTTCATCGAGAAACGTACCTAAGGCTGCGTTAAGCCAGCCAGAAGAGGTAAGATTTATTAACACTTAAAAGTGTCCACAGGCGATGCACATTATTATCCAATTTTTCATAGTGTACAAAAAATGTTGACCGTTTTTTATGTAAGGTGTTTAATACACAATATGCAGCGTGGTCCCGAAATTTCACTTATGGCTTGGGCCTGTGACCATCCTGACAGTATGGGATATCGTGCAATGTGTGCATTTTTTTTTTAGGAACGTGTCTGCAAATGTCCTCAAACCCCCAGAGGATGTAACGCCGATTTGCTCGTTGGAAGACAAGTGAGTCTGTTCCAGAAATTTAGGAAGCTTCATTATGATGGTCAGTCGCAATATATGTCGCAAATCATATCCCTCCAAGAACCAAAACGTAGGAGAGTTGAGGAAAATATATCTCGTAGACATTGCACTGTAAAGTACAGTATTAATGGCACTCAAGTATGTAGAGGAACAGTTTGTTATATATTCTCAATTACGCCTAGAAAATTACAGTGGCTTATTGGTAAACTTAAAGCGAACATGAATAACCTTCAAGATCAACGTGGAAAGCATCTCAATCGTCCTAAAAAGTTGAAAAACATGGACGCACGTCTCATTTCCGATCACATCCGATCGTTTCCCCTACAGGAAAATCATTACAGCAGAAATACTTCAGCCAAACAATGCCTTCCAGCTGATCTAAATATCTCAAAAATGTTCAGACTTTTTAAGGAGAAATACCCCGATGCAAATAATATTTCCTTTAGGGTTTATCACGACATTTTCAAGAGCAAGTTCAATCTGCGATTTGGTCTACCAAGATCTGACACATGTTCGTATTGTGACAACCTGTTTATGAAACTTTGTTCAACTGATGACGCTAATGAAAAGAAAAAAATAGAAATCGAGAGTGAGATCCACCAGAGAAAAGCTGAAGCGGGTTATAAAACATTGAAAGATGATACCGAGACCTCTAAACTCAATCCAAATTATGTTGTGTTGTGCACAGATCTGCAACAAGTGCTTTTTTGTCCCAATTTAACACATTCATCTGTATTCTATCAAAGGCAATTCTCAACATATAACTATGCTGTTCATAATATGGGTTAGGAAAACGCAACAATGTTACTATGGCATGAAGCAATGGCACATCGGGGATCTACAGAGATTGCTTCAGCACTACTATTCTATATTACTAACAAGTATAGTCGTCTCAAAGCAGGTGAAGAAAGAAAACTAGTTGTATGGTCAGACAGGTGTGTGGGCCAGAACAATAACTGGAAAATGCTGACAATGCTGCGACTTCTAGTTTTAGAAAAGTTCTTTACGCAAGTCGAACAAAAATTTCTTACGAGCGGGCATAACCTTTTGCCGTGTGATAGAGACTTTTCTCTCATAGAACGACAAAAAAAAATCTCTAAAGTATTTGTTCCCTCACAGTGGGCTGATGTTGTCGCTAAGTCGAAGGTATCCAATCCATTTAAAGTGATCTTCATGCATCAATCTTTTTTTAAGGATTTTCAGGCAGCGGAAAATGTTATATATAAAGATCCATCATGTAAAATCACCCAAGTAATGTGGTTGCAAATGACCGCAGATGATGTGAATACTTTACGAGTAAGAAAGTCTCACAACGCACTTCAACCATGGTTTACTTACTTGTTGAAGTCACGCAAGAAATTAGTACAAGAAGTAGCGATAAGAGACCTTAAAGAGGCATATAATGAAGCACTTTCGATCAAAAAGGAAAAAAAGGCAAACCTGATGGATATGTGTGACTATATCCCCTTAAAATATGTTAGTTTTTACGAAAACCTGAAAGTTGTTTAAAACCATCAAAATGTTATCCATTTGTATTATGTTTCTTGTAGCACCAACTATGTTGGTTCACTGTATTACAATAAAAAAAAATTTGTCCCATTAAGCGTAAAACAAGGTCGTAAACGACTCGTTTCCGTGTAAAAACGTTGTAAGTGACGTGTATATATAACGTTGTTTTAGGGAATTTATTTTCTAAGGCTCTTAATTTGTTTAACATGGTTTATAAAAAGATGTTGTGTTTCTCAAATATATTAAAATATCGATTAGTAAATAGCCTGTCTGTTTTCTTTTTTTAATTTCGGAGTAAAACATAGAAAAGCGTTTTTTTCGTTTTTCTCAAAACTAAACTTTTGGCGGTTAGAACGTTGTTCCGGCATACCCTTCAATATCAACATTTTTTGAGAACTTTTATCCAGAGCTACTTTTTAGCGCATCTACTACTACTCACAAAGTATCGGAATCCATCCTTTTCTTAAATCACTGTTAGACAATTCTCGATGTTGTTCCGGATTATAGGTAATCCCATTCTCATATTTACTCTACCGGCGGATCTCAGTATGCTTACGGCTACAGACCTTAAAAGTTCTCTAATGATGATAAAACGTAGTGGCTCCATGGATGCTGCCCTGCAATAGTCAATTGTTGAATTGCCTAAATTAATTACACAATAACTCACGTTCCACGAACTTTCTCTAGGTATAGATATTTATAAATACATGCAAATCGAAAAACAATTTCCATTTCTATTAGGGTAGGTATGTTCGACCTCATTTTTCATCATTATTCTACGTCGTTCTAGTAACTTTCAAACACTTGGTTGTCCTAGTGGAGTACAAAAACATTTCCCATATAAGAAAGCAGGTCAGATGCATCACGTCTTCTTCTGACCTAGAAATCAATATCAGAAGTAACATGTATAAAATATTCTAATTGGCCTGTACCATTAAATGACCGATACATTAAGTAACCCAAAACAGTCAGAAATTCTGGTTCGTTAGGAAAAATTCCGTAGTTCCAGGTGGCTTCATATACAGGAAAAGGGAACCAGAAATATTTCGGTATATTGGGGTTAATGAGGGTAAATTCAGGAATGTCAGTAGTTGAAAAAAGACATAGATGAAATCTGGAGTCAGGTTATACGAGTAACGTTAAGGCTAATAGGAGAACGATTTTTGAGCTGTATACAACTTTATTCTAAATAATAAGGGTTTGCTCATAATATATAATAAATTTTAGTATAAACTGATTATACCTATACACCTAACGATATTACTGTTGTCATCGACGTTATACCTAATATTGTACTCATACAGAATAAATAAAACAAGGCCAACAATATTTTAGAGCCAAAAATACATCGGAAAATAAATCGGAAAGCTCCTACAAGCTCAGGCTCTGAAATGCTCCACACTCAGATACACTTTGGGGTCACTTGTGATACTGACTATGGATAAAACATGAATATTATTCGAATAACGTTCTGGTGATTCGACATTACTTTCTTACTATAATATACATTTATCAGTGTCATAAACTTCAGCGGATCCTCGAACTAGACCAGGTTTCCCAACTAACAATTATCACTCCTATTAGAGTTGCAAGAATGATTATACAGTATTCATTAAACAGCATTGTATACTGTAAGAACATTGGCAAAACCCTCTTAGAACAGCTATACAAGAGGAATGGGCCCACCTAATAGGACACTTCAGTCATTTAAGAGGTTAAATAAGGGCTGCAGGTAACAGTTATAAAACAAAAGTGTAAGCCTCTTGCAGCCGCTATAGGATATTTGCGTCAGTGCAAGGTTCAGTTTTTGTCAACTACACAACTACTCTGTTACGTGATTCTACTTTATTGCAACCAAACTATTCCTTATGTATTGTATAGACGAAGTGAAGAATATATAACTAACACATTCCAGTCATCTTGTTTACTTATATATCGGCTATTGTGAATTTCATACACAGGTATATGATAAACTTCCACACTGTGATAATAGGGCTATTGAATTACTTGCGCAGTAAATTTTATTGTGATTATCGTGCAGATTAGTGACCCAATTTCTACGGGCTTCGTATTTGATTCATATTTTGACAATGATCAAAAGTATGTCGAGATTTTTAAGATGGAAAACTGAACTTATCTGCGTTAAATCTTCCACTAATCCTATATTTAGACACAATTACACTAATGTTTATCACTTGATATCTTCAATTTCGAACTGAAACATAATTATTTAATATTGAATAGAGGAATAGATGTTTGCCCAATATGGCGGGTGGTTGTGTACAATCATGGCATCGTCCATGTTGTCTTTAGGTTATTAGAATATTTTGGTGTTACGTGCAGGTCTTATACAACAATTTGACAAATGTCTGAAATGAAATACCGACAGAGTCGAATTATTGACCCAGAATTTGTACCAGATCTATATCTTCTGTTTGAGCAGTTGATAAAACCTTTTGAACCAATATACATGCGTTGTTTGTCTTAAAACATTGATTATGGCATTTTACAAAAATATGACAGCAGAAAGTTAGGTTATGGTGAAGTTGTTTACCAACATATTTAGCATATGTACAGAATTAAACAGTTACTAAACAACAGTTTTATAAGTGCTTCCGTTGGGAGTAATTTGTTGGCTAAAGTAGTGAATTGCACAGCAAAACAACAAGGCTCGGGTTTGTTTTATAAACGTTACCATGGATGCCACAACACAACCGTTTTGACTAACATGCAAATATGCCGTATAAAACAGTTGTATAAACGTTTATGCAACAGTTAAAAATTTGCCCTATAAGGTGTTGTATAACTATGCTATAAGAATATTTTAAACACTTCATTTTAGAGCAAATATGTAGGCAGAAAGCAAATCTGCATTCCACACAACATTAAGCCAGCATTTTGGTGTTCAGGCAACAACAATAGAGCTTTTATGGCTGAACGATTCTTTTACCAAAAGCTTATACCACTACTTTGCTAGTTGGGTTACGTTTTTTATGAGTATATTTCAGGCATGTACCAAAAGTGCCTGGGTCAAATATCACATGACCCTTCCTCTTCAGGTATTGAGTTATCTAGCTCCTCAATGATAATAGGGAGGCCAACATATATCTGCATTATTTGCCCAATCTCTCTCATAAAATAGATGCGATCTGCTTATGATAGTCTTTGTGCAAGGTGGAAGTTGTATATGAAACATGATATTTGCAATTGTCCATCTCCGCGTACCGCCATTCTTTCGCTAGGTTTCTGGTTTAGGGAATATTACTCTATAGTGAGAATAGAATATTTGTTAAGTAATTTCTTACAAATCGCCACAGAAAAAAGTCTAGGAGCGTTGAATTTGGAGATCTTGGAAGACAAAAGAGACTGGAGAATCGAGAGATAAAATAGTAAGGTCTGACAAACTGCAGGCCCTTATTGGCACTGGCGATTCGTGACTACTAAAATTTGCCATCTTAATCTGCAACTAATGTGCTCTAGTAGGATAGAGCGGCGTGTCGCACATCTGAAAATTACAAATCTTATGCGAATATTGTTTTCATGACGTTTTACCTACCATTTGGGAGATGGTCTAACAAACCAAGCGATATACACCAGCTAATTAGAGAAGCTCCATCCACATCCGTTTGAGCGTCTCATGTTAGCAAGCTGCAATTTGAGGTGATGATATTGATGCATGCTATATCCGAAAGTAAAAGCTCTTAGGATGGTGACTGGGCACCAAATTGAATGTTCTCTTTATTGGAACTGGAGATTGAAGCACCTTCAGTATCCTATAACCTGATAGTATAAATTCTGAAGTGTTTCGCTATACATCGAATCTCTTATAACTTAACCACCAATGAAACGTTGTAAGTAAGCGTATACCAATATCCTCATTTTGGAACGATTTACTTGAATCTGCAATATTGTATCGTATAATTCGTAGAAACAATAACAAATGTTTGCCATTTTTTTTTATAAATTCTATTGCATACTCCAATGAACAAGAGCTTTGGCCCAAACAAACTCTTTCATTTGATATTCATATTAGTGGGGCCATAAATCAACTTTTTTTATTACTATGCACCATAATTAGTGTAGAATGACGTCACGTTTCTCATCATATCCTACCGAAATTGCACTCACCACTTCATTTGGAAATTGTATTACATGTTATTCTACGGAAATGATGATTCGTCACTATGACGAGTAGACATTATTTTATTTAGAATGACAGCATTTAGTTATTATTTTGATTCCAAAAAACTAAGTAGCTTGCTACGTGTTGAATATCTAAATCTACTTATTGAGCAAGCTTCTCATTTTGAGACAAAATACCGTTTTGTCATTTAAGTTCCTAATTTTACTTTGCTTTTGTGTTTTGTAGTTTGACAGGAGCTAAGTAATCAGCATTTCAGATAAAATATGAACCATGGCGACATGA